TTTATTTTCTCCAATATAGGACCCAGTGCTCCCCCTGACAATGCTTTTGCCATGATTTCTTCTCAGAAGGACCTACTTTTCACATCAAAGGTCAACATCTAATTTCTGGACTGTGACAACACAATCATGTGAATTCTTGTGCCTGTAACTAGCGTGGCAGTAATCAGGGACACTGTAGCTGGTGTGGCTTTGCACATCAAGGATTTCTCTAAGGCCTGGTTTACACTGGCAGCCACCCGTCTTAACCTAAAATGGTGGCTGGAGGGGGGTAGTATACATGCTGCAACCACAATGTGTTGCCTCGCAGCAAAAATAATACCACACATCTCATTTAGCAGGCAGTACCGCCAATAACCATGACCCATTCAAGTGATCAGGACCTCATTGTATCCACATCTAATGCATGCGGTTCCAGCGGGCTTTCAATTGTGCATCCAGAAGCCACCTGTCAGCTGCCTTTTAAAAAGCGATCCCCCATGTATCACTTTTTCAAGGCACTGCAAGGTTAAACAAGCCCTAACTTTGTGGCTTGCTACTAAATTACCTTATTGCAGTCTCAACACTGGGGGAGGAGACAATGGGTAATACTTCCCACTTGCAGCAGACTGATGATACCTACTCAGCCTAGGCAAAGTCATTTAAAGGCTAAGTTCACCTTTTAGGAAAAAAAATAATAAATGCACTTATTTGTGCATTTAATATTTTTTCCCTCAGGAGCCTGCAAAGCATTGGATCTGTGATCAGTGGATTAGGGGTGCAATGTCAGACTTCTGCAGACAAGCCCTTCAGTTTTCAACCCATACCTCCAAATTGGCTGACTGTTTACAAACTGCAGGGCTTGTGAATGAACTATGAGAATACTCATCAGCACCCTCACAGATCATTGAGAACTACAGGGCGTCTGCCACGGTGGATGATGGTACTTGTATTTCTCTCATTCTTAGAGCACTGTGAATAAATGCTACAGATGTGTGGGTGGAGCCCTGCACAGCCACACTATTTTCAAAATGTGACAGGGGGTGCAGGGAGAGGACCCACCTCCTACTGTTGCAGAGTGGAGGGGGCAAGTATGGAGCATGTCATACATTACACCTGAAATATGGGTGTAATGTGTAACATGCTCAGAAAGGAGAAATTATCCTTTAACTGCAGCTTGAGGACTGTTTTTCTTATATTTTTTATTATTTAAATTTACTTTTTTTTTCACTGTTGAAAGCTTTTTTGCTTTTTAAAACAACTATACCTAGAAGGTATATTGTCAGGTATGTAAGGAATTTGTTCATGCAGACTTGTAAAAATACTGCATGTTAAGCATTGAAGTTAAAGTGTTACTAAACCCAGGACCATACATTCACTATATCTGGTCTCCCACAGTGCACAGAACATGGAAGTGCAATTGTTTTAGTAAATATAAACTGCTAAATACCTTTTCTCATCAGCAGTTAGAGCAGTTTTGTGACTTTTATCAGTGTCCAGCCGAGCACTGGCTAAAGCTTATAGGAGGAGTTTTCATTTTGCTATAGGAGGTTGCTGAACCCCTGACCTCTGCCTGGACAGTGCTGACTGGCCCTGTGCTGATCACATGCACACTCCCAAGGAAAAAAAAAAAACCTCTCTAGCAATACACACCAAACTTAGCATGTGCAGAGTGACTTCACACAATATGTGTTATCAGGAGATTAGGGGGGGGGGGGGGGGCACTGGAGGAAGGGGAGCATTAGAGAAGTCAGGATCAAACAGCCTTTTTATACAATGCAGAGGATTAACCCCTTAGGTTCCACATTGAGTATAACAAGCATGCTTTACTACATGTACAGATGGATTTTACTGTTGTGGGAGAAAATGTTTTATGGGATCTATGTACTAAAAGCCCAGTCTGACACTTCTGGATCTGGTTATTGGATTCAGCAAGCCATGATAATAAATGTGTTTGGACATTATATATTGCTGCTGGATTTATATCACTGTAAATTCCCCCCTCCACCAAATATGACCATCATTAGGCCTATCACTGCCAAAAAGCAGCTGTAAACTGACTCTGAATGCATTTTACACAAGAACTGACTATGAGCCTTGTGTATAACATCTCATGGAAAATACCTGTGAGGTTCACCACAGCTAATCACATTCTATAATTTTTCTATGCAGTTCAAGAAAATGCTTTCTAACATCAGCAAAGGGCAACTCACATACTTTTCCTATTTTTTATACAGCTGCATTAGCTCCACATAGCTGTTTACAATGTAACATTCCACAGATATTTGATTGGATCAGCTATGTAAATACAGCAACATGCTGGCATTTGCACAGAAATTACATTATTCATTTTTCTATTGGCATAGATTGTGCTATTGATTGATTGTATGTGGTCCAAGAAGCTGATATAAAATCAAATACGTTTATGTACTTTATACTTGAAGTAGATCTAAAGCCAGGTTAATGTGTGCTACCACAATGCATGGTAACGTACCTGCTCTATGTGTATTGTGTTAGGATACCATTGATTGTGAATGACACTGCAATATATTGTTCAGTAAAGCACAACACATAAGAACGCATATACCATTAAAAAGCTTCACATTTTTCATCTGTTGTGGTGCGTTGGCAGCCCATTCATAATGAATTAGCAGTCCTAACACAACACATATTAAAGCATGCTTTGGGGTGTGTCCCAACGGAACACTTTAGGTAGAATAGGCCCTAAAACTCATGTCAGGCTTTTTTTGTTGTCTTTGTCTCTTTGAAAACTGAACTGGAATGGAGCGGGAATCTCTCTAAAATGAGACCATAATCACTGGAACAGGTGTTCTGGTTGGGTTATTTTCCCTGTATTCCTGGACTGGTGACAACTGTAAAATGTTGTGTCCTATCACTTTCTGTTCTGTCACCAGGACAAACAGGTTTTCTTCTTCTGTCTTAAACAGCAAGTTCACTTCCCCTGCTGAGTTTTTACTTTTTAACACGTTTTCTCTAATGTCATCAGGGAGCCAGGTGTCTCTTCAGGTTCTTGCAGATGGTCCCCTGATGATGAGGCCATTGGGTCTACCGTCCTGCTGTTCTATGGACACCAATGCCTTCTGGAATGTCTAATGTAGATACCTCAGGATGCTGCAGCAGTAGTACAAGTCATTCTTGCCTAGGTGAGAATTGAGGATTGGGACTGTATTTTAATTGTCGGCTTCTTACATTTGCGGAAAGGGGAATGTTAAGTATTGGAGTACAGGTCTGGTTTTTGGGTCAGTTCACACCAGAATGTGCTGTGGGAACCCCGTGTTCTGCATGCGTTTCCCGCACCACGTTCAAACTGTACTGCCCTTGTGATCTGCAGAGAGTGTCAGTACAATGCTAACAACACCCTGAACACAGGTCACAAACATAGTGCGTTTGCCTGCATTGGAGTAGTACATGCACTACTTTTGCTGCGGTCTGCCACGATTTCAGCCTATTCGAAGGAATGAGCTTAAATCGCACTGCAGCCGGATTGCATGTCAATCACACAGGAACATGCTTTGTTCTGTGTGATTCATGGTGTGAACCATCCTAACACTTCCACTTACTATAAAAATGTTTATATGTTCTTTGATGCATGTTTATATTTTCACATTCATCTTTTGTTGTCATCACAAGATTAGATGGAGAGAATTTGCCTGTCAAATGGACAGACATTTATACACACACACACATACATACAATATAAATATCAACACTAAAGCTGCAGAAAAAACTGCAAGTCAATATGCTTATGGCTATACATTTCTGAATCATCAACATTTTCCAGCCCAATAGGTAGCTTTTGATTGAGGTACAGCACTAAAGTAGAATTCCATGTACGGCTATATTTACATAGTTACATTGTTCCAGCTTGGACCAATGTAACAATGCATATACAATGCAATGCATGGGGCAGCACAGTGGCTTAGTGGTTAGCACATCTGCCTTGCAGTAAATGGGTCATGGGTTCAATTCCCGCCCATGGTGCCTCCTGCATGGAGTTTGCATGTTCTCCCTGTGCTTGCGCGGGTTTCCTCCAGGTTCTCCGGTTTCCTCCCACACTCCAAAGACATGCTGGTAGGTGAATTGGCTCCTGTCTAAATTGGCCCTAATATGTGTATGTTTATGATGAATGTGAGTGAGGGACCTTAGACTGCACGCCCCTTGAGGGTTAGGGAGTGATGTGAATGTACAATATATATGTAAAGCGCTGCGTAAATTGACATCGCTATATAAGTACCTTAAATAAATACCTGATATAAATATACCATAATGTGGGATCCCTCTAGAAGCTGGAAATCACTGTATTAGGCAACACTACTCCAGTGATCTCCACTGATATCTGTGTCCCGTTTCAAGCAGTTGCTGTGCTGCATTTTGAATACAGGAGGTCAGCTGCCCGGCATATGCACCATTCACAGTTCACTTTGCATTTTCCCAATGAATGGACAAGATGGAGAGGCAGGGTGGTGACATTACCCTCTCAACCTTGTCCAATCACAGAATGCTTTGCAATCGTTCAGAAAATGAATTTGACATGGGACCTTGGAATCTAGTGAAGATCACTGCGGTAGCAGCTTCTACTACTAGGGATCCCACAGGTAAAGTGTATGCATAGTTACATTGATCAAAGCTGCACAAATGTAACTATGTAAAATATATATACCTGAAATACATCTTTAATTCAAATTCGTAGCCTTAACCTACTCCCACCTCCATTGTAAGATTATTCTGTCAATGACGTCACCCATAGGCTTAGTATGGGGCATCAGCTGTCTCTCCTCTATGCTGAAGCTGTCGATGGGACCCGATCATGTGATCAGACTCAAGTGGCTTCAGAATAGGTAAGTATAGACCTTATTTTTTAAAGGGTAAATAGTCTTAGAAAGGAAGTGGGAGCAGGTTTAGGCTTTGTCAGAATTTGATGTACACTTGAATTACACTTTAACCACTTCCCGTCCAGCCCATGTATATAAACGGCCGGACCGTGGCAGTGCAGGGTCGGGTGGCCGTTTATATGCTTGTGCGCGCTCTCTGAGAGCGCGCAGAGCTGCGATTCGGTGCCTGCTGTGTCCTCCGGACACAGTGGAATACCGATTGTGAGACGGGACCTCTGTGCGAGGTCCAGATCATGTGATCACTGATTGGCCAATCAGTGATCACATGCAGAGTAGTAAGCAAGGTGTCACTTCTGACATCATTACTTACTACGTGTGAAATCTGTGAATGATCACAGAGGTCACATGGTCATGGGCGTATTTGCCGCGAGGCAAACAAGGCACTTGCCTAGGGCGGCACTTTACAGGGGGGGGCGGCGCCACGCCTCGAAAGAAGGGACATCTTTGATGTCACTACAGCAGGAATCCAGTGAGGAGTGGGAGTATCATGCCTCCCCTGGACACTGCCGTCAACCGGGATCATCTCTCAGCCCTGGCTCCCCACCACCATCCACTGCAGAGAGCTCCGTGAGCTCCGACCATCAGAGCAGCCTATAGCCTGGCTGGGCAAACTGCATGCTGTGAGTTGTAGTCGTTCCCCCGCCTCCCCGAACTACAATCCCGGCAGGCAGTGCAGGGGAAGGACTACAACTCCCAGCATCCAGTGCGCCCGGCCAGGCTATAGGCTGCTCTGAGGGTCGGAGCTCTCCTCAGTGGACGGTGGTGGGGAGCCAGGTCTGAGAAATGATCCCGGAGGATGGCAGTGTCCAGGGGAGAAAGGGATCTCTGTCACAGAGGTGGAAGAGGGAAGGGAAATGCAGCTGCGTACATGCCCCCGCCCCTCAGTCTCCGCCCCGCCTGGTGAGTGATCTTCATGCCTACTGGGGGGGGAGAGAGCTGACAGGCAGACTGACCAGAGACTGCCAGGTGACTGACCAGAGACTACCAGGTAACTGACCGAGACTGACTTCAGAGACTGACCGAGACTGCCAGGTGACTGACCAGAGACTGACCGAGACTGACCAGAGACTGCCAGATGACTGACCGAGACTGACCAGAGACTGACCGAGACTGCCAGCAGACTGACCAGAGACTGCCAGGTGACTGACCGAGACTGACCAGAGACTGCCAGGTGACTGACCGAGACTGACCAGAGACTGACCGAGACTGCCAGCAGACTGACCAGAGACTGCCAGGTGACTGACCGAGACTGACCAGAGACTTTTTAGGTGACTGACCGAGACTGACCAGAGACTGACCGAGACTGACCAGAGACTGCCAGGTGACTGACCGAGACTGAGACCAGGTGACTGGACTGACCAGAGACTGACCAGACTGCCAGGTGACTGACCGAAACTGACCAGAGACTGACCGAGACTGCCAGGTGACTGACCGAAACTGAACAGAGACTGACCGAGATTGCCAAGTGACTGACCAGAGACTGACCGAGACTGACCAGAGACTGCTAGGTGACTGAACGAGACTGACCAGAGACTGCCAGATGACTGACCAGAGACTGCCAGGTGACTGACCGAGACTGACCAGAGACTGACCGAGACTGACCAGAGACTGACCAGAGACTGACCGAGACTGCTAGGTGACTGACCAGAGACTGCCAGGTGACTGACCAGAGACTGCCAGGTGACTGACCAGAGACTGCCAGGTGACTGACCAGAGACTGCCAGGTGACTGACCAGAGACTGCCAGGTGACTGACCGAGACTGCCAGGTGACTGACCAGGTGACTGACCAGAGACTGACCGAGACTGACCAGAGACTGCCAGGTGGCTGACTCATACCACTAACTGACACCTTCTCGCTGATCATACCACTAACTGACACCTTCACACCGCTCATGCCACTAAATGACACCTTCTCGATGCTCATACCACTAACTGACACCTTCTCGCCACTCATACCACTAACTGACACCTTCTCGCTGATCAAACCACTAACTGACACCTTCTCACCGCTCATGCCACTAACTGACACCTTCTCGCCACTCATACCACTAACTGACACCTTCACAGAAAGATGTGGCCGACCACTAAGTTCCGGCCAGCAAACATTGGTGCACTAGAGACAGTGGGGGTGCACGGGGGGCGGCGATTTTTGTGTTGCCTAGGGCAGCACAAAACATAAATACACCACTGCACATTGTACAAGGCTATTCACAACAAAGAGAAGGAGAAATGATTGCTTTTACAGCCTTTGTGGGTGTAAAAGCAATCAGTGTAAAAAAAAAAAATCTTCATCACCCCCCACAAGTAGTACAGTGTCACCATGGTGACACTGTACTGCTAGGGTGACAGTACGTTAAAAAAAAAAAAAAAACAAATAATATAAAAAAAAATTTAAAAATTAAAAAAAAATATATTTAAAAATTATAATTTTTGGTTATAAACTAATTTGGGTTATTTTTTTTACTAAAAGGATAATGGAATAAACTTTGGTCAAGATTTATTATGAAATACTATTTATTTGCAAAATTTTATAAGAAAAACTTTTATTCAAAATTTTTTGACTTTTTCATTTATATAGCAAAAAAATATATATAAATCCCAGTGGTGAATAAATATCACCAAAATAGCTTTATTTGTCTCAAAAAAATGCTAAAAAACTCATATGGGTACAGTGTTGCATGACCGCTCAATTGTCATTCAAAGTGTGATAGCACTGAAAACTGAAAGTTGGCCTGGACAGGAAGGGGGTAAAAAGTGTCCAGACTGGAAGTGGTTAAGTAACCAGGAATGGCTTACATTTCTACTAATGTATGTGAATAATACAGTTGCAAGAAAAAGTATGTGAACCCCTTGGGATTACGTGGAGTTTTGCATGAATTGGGCATAAAATGTGCTCTGAATGTCATCAAAGTCACAACAATAGAAGAACACAATCTGCTGAACATAATACTACACAAACATTAGATGTTGCCATGGTTTAATTGCACATAACATGTAAACATTCACAGTGCAGGGAGGAAAAAGTATGTGAACCTTTGGACTTAATAACTGGTTGACCCTCCTTTGGCAGCAATAACCTCAACCAAACGTTTCCTGTAGTTGCAGATCAGACCTGCACAACGATCTGGAGTAATTTTGGACCACTCCTCTTCACAAAACTGTTTCAGTGTAGCAATATTCTTGGGATGTCTGGTGTGAATCGCTCTCTTAAGGTCATGCCACAGCATTTCAATCGGGTTGAGGTCAGGACTCTGACTGGGCCACTCCAGAAGTCGTATTCTGTGCTGTTGCAGCCATTGTTTTGTTGAATTACTTGTATGCTTTGAGTCATTGTCCTGTTGCATCACCCATCCTCTGCAGAGCTTCAGTTGGCGGACAGATGGTCGTACGTTTTCCTGCAAAATGTCTTGATAAACTCTGGAATTCATTTTCCCATCAATGACAACAATCCGTCTGTCCAGTCTGTCCTACCGTGGACACATGAACATCAAGGCTTTTGGAGATACTTTTGTAACCCTTTCCAGCTTCATGCAAGTCAACAATTCTTGATCGTAGGTCTTCTGAGAGCTCTTTTCTGCGAGGCATGGTTCACATCAGACAGTGCTTCTTGAAACCAGTAAACCCAAAACAGGTGTGTGTTTTTTTAAGGGCAGGACAGCTGTCAGCAACACATCCAATATCATCACACTGATTGGAGTCAAGGTTGGCTCACTCCTGGCTCCAATTAGCTCTGGGAGAAGTCATTAAGCTAGGGCCTCACATACTTTTTCCTCCCTGCACTGTGAATGTTTACATATTATGTGCAATTAAACCATGGCAACATCTAATATTTGTGTAGTATTATGTTCAGCAGACTGTGTTGTGACTTAGATGACGTTCAGAGCACATTTAATGCCCAATTCATGCAAAACTCCACGGAATTCCAAGGGGTTCACATACCTTTTCTTGCAACTGTATGTATGGACTTTGAAGCTTAAATAGTCTGAACATGGCCAGTTTAATGCATTCTACTACCATCAGATAGCCCCTGCAGTGATGTAGGAGGTGGCAGCAGATAATGAATCAGAACATGATCAATTCACGCAGGCGAAGAAAAAAAAGTGGTAATATAAGGTATACAGTTTATCTCTTGAGGTAATTTTCACCAATTAATTTTATATGAGTAATAGTACATATACATATGTTCAGAAAGAAGACTATGCCTGTACAACCACCCTTCCAATGTCTATAGCCAATTTACACTTGTCATGGTAATGTTTGCATGTTGTGGCTCAGCACACCTTTACAGTACTGACAGCAATTCAAATAAACAAATGTGATTCTGACCTTTATCATTTGACCCACATAGCTTTCTGGACCAGTGTAATCCGTCTTGTTCTTCACTCTCACCAGCACGATGAAGTACAGATAATTCCAGATATTGTGCTCCTCCTTAATGTGCTCCTCAAAGGACACGGTCTTATTGTCAAATTTATCTCTCTCCAGTCCTGCAGAAATGAATGAGAATCACATTTTACAACTAGATAAGAGTACTATTAGCATGTTATGCGAGCCATTTAGATAATTCTACTTTAGGATTGCATTTTATTAATAAACCACATTCAGAATATTATTGAGAGAGAGACTGCATGACATACTTTTGGAAACATTTATTTTTACAGGCATTGTGCTTGTTATATCAGATTTGTTAAAGTATTTTCCAAAGTTCTATATGGAATAACACATTGTACAGTTTTTTTTGTTAATACATATTTTGGAACTGACCTTCCTTTTTACTTGAATAAAACCATATTACTAAATAAAGATAATACATTTTGACAAAGTAATACACAGCATTTTTGAAGTACCAACATAAAGGATTGCTGTAGAATATATTTCTTACCACAGAGGTGACTCCTGCAGCATCGGTTCTGTATACATCATAATGAAACATAAATTATTAAAGCGCACCTAAAGTCCACAATTATAAACTCATTAACTACTTCTAGAGCAGATGATGAGTTTTTATGTGCTCTTGGGCCAGCAGATGAGTTACAACCTTAAAGTGGTTCTAAAGCAGAAGTTTTTTTTTTACCTATGCAATAAAGGAAAAAGCCTTTTTTTGCCCACCTCCCCAGCCCCCCTTATACTTGCCTGAGCCCCATCTTGACCCAGTGATGTGCATGAGAGCAGCTCTCTCACTCCTCCCTGCACAGACAAACTATGACAGCACTGAAAGCTGCAAAACACCTGATAATAACAAGGCTAGTACTCAAGTGGATAAACAGTATTTCTTTTCTTTTTAAGTCATTACATAACCCCTATTATCCCTAACTAGTGCAAATTAATTCATTCCTCTTCCTGCCCTCTTTTTATAGATTTCCAAAGCTAATTACTATGTATTTTTTTTATCATGCAGAAGTTCTCAAAGCAAACCTAAAAGTAGAAAATAAATACATTTTTTAAATGTCTTTTCTGCTTCATGCCTCATGAACCCCTTGTTATCTATGTGGTCCCTCCTACAGCAGTTAATGGTACAATGAACCTGAGGCCAACCAAAAGAGATCAAGGTACCTACATATTCTAAAAATCAGTTAATAAGCTTACAATCAAGCTCTTACTGACCCCTGTAGCTGCAGGCATTGTGGAGAGTCATTCATCCTTTAAATTATTTTGTAAATAATTTTTTTACCAGAAACATATTTTTTCAAAATCACAGAATAAAATTAGCATGTATTTGCATAAATTATCTTAAATATCTGTTCCAGAGTGATCTTATTGTAGATCTCTAAGACCATTCAATAGGATTTCTACATTTTAAAGATGTAAAAGCTCATTCAACATTCCTGCTTCAGAAGATGAAATCCTCCTAGGCTTCCTACCCCAAAGCCTCATCGACCTGGCATGGCTCAGTCATTTGGTGCTCTACAAATACCTATATTCAACACTTTACAGTAGTGAATGTGATGTTCCTCTGGTTCTTTTATGCACATCATGCCTTATTTCAGAATTAAACCCTACCCATTGCATTTATTAGAGTGATGGTAATTCATTCTCTGCCTGGAAAAAGCATTGCTTATGTCCTGTAAATGTGCAGACATGACGTTGTACAGTAATATGGAAAATTATCAAATACTTACCGTACTATAGTTTTTCTTGATTTTCCTCATATCTGCATAAATTCAATCCATTGTGTTTCATTGTGAGCCTAAGGGCTCATTCAAATTAGCACAGAGGTCCACACAGCTTGAAGAGCCTGTTGTTTAGCATGGAGCTGCAGGCACGCAGCCTGTGTTAGTCAATGAATAAGCAGTGCCTGTACACTCACCTGACCATCTGATTTTGACAGGCAAGCAGCAATGGGTGACAGGCAATACACACTCTCTGTGTTCTGGGCCATGCACCCATCTCTGTGTACCTGTCAAACTTGAATATGCAGGTAAGTCTGTATAGGCACTTCCTTTCCATTGACTAACACAGGCTGCCTACATTCAGCCTCATGATGCTCAAGAGGAATAAAAAAATGTCTTTTCACGCTGTACAGGCCTTTGTTTCTGTGTGAAAGAACTTTATACAAGTCTATTTTAAATTACTAAATATACAATATGTTGTATATTTAAAAACAGAATTTTTAATTAAAAGTGAACTAACACCATCCCAATTACCCTTTAAGGAACAAAATACTCATGATTTGGAATTAGAGGTGAAAAGCTTAGTTGTGTTTTCATGAGGAAGGTGTAGTCAGTGCTGTACAGTACTATCCTCTTAGCCCTAATCCTTTCTAGCTATGCAATTCAGATATCAATATGAATTTTGCCGTAGGACAGTTTGAATCGTGACATTTAGAAAGAGAAGGAAATATAACTAATTCATGTTTGAGAGTGTCAGTAATTCATGGTATTTCACACACATTTGACTTTATGTTTAGTACAGTTCATCAAGTTCCCCGCAAGCTTTCTTCTCATTAAAGCAACAAGCGTTTAGAAAGGCAAGGCCCTGGAGTCTAGCAACTAGCTTGTCCAGATCTTTACTGTAATACCTGATGAGATTTACAATACCAGTAGTTTTTACAGCTACAGCTTGGGACTTTTTCCCTAGTGTGAAAAAAAAAAAGATGATCTACCCAAGGACAGTACATTTCCTATGCAATAGCTCACTTGTTTATTCAGGAACTTTTTTCACCCACTTTTCTAAAAATAGCAAAAGATATTACAGCACATCCCTTAAGGGTATATGTATGTTCAAGCTTCTAGTTACAATTCATCCACATCAAGCAACACACTGAGGATGGCAAGTCTGAGGAGAAATATTATTTTTTGAGCATTCCATAGCAACAAACAGAATTCTAGATGCAGATAAAATGGAAGACTCCAGACAACAGTATTTTCTGTTCAGCTGGATATTTCCTGGTAGAGCCTAGGGTTAACCATAACCATTTCTTACAATCACTTGACTCTCCCATCCAAGTTAAATAGCTTGGATGAGAAAAAACTCCTCTGGTGACTGCATCTGAAAGGAATTTTCCACCTGGCTCAGTCAATGTTGGAACTGAATTTGACGTGCAGGGTGGTACAAACAGAGCCATCCATGGCTCGAATTTTGGCAGAATCAGCAGGAAAATCAGCCAAAATTCAAGCCGTGTATGGTTAGTTTTACTTTTAAGTAATTTAATCAGTACAACTGCACAGCCAACAGGGCAATTATTTAAATAAATGTAAACCTAACATTTCATATTCCTGATATGTGCCTGTTGTACCATCTACGTGTATGAAAAAGTATCCTGTTTTCTTTGTATTGCTTCTTTTGTGTGAATTCCCTCGTGCTCATGCAAATCCCTCTGATTTCCTATTAAAATCTGACCACACTAGGCATGAGAGTACAGCACAGTCAGTTTTTTGGCTGTGCTGGGAGCTAATCCAATGATTGTACTGACACGCTTCCCCTGCATTGCCATTCACTGGGAAGATCAGTGTGCTGCTCTATCTCCTCCCTGAGCTCCTTATGCAGGAGCTCAGGGAGGAGCAGAGAATGTGATCACTCATTAAAAAGGGGAACAAAATCTGTATATATATATATTATATATATATATATATATATATATATTATATATATTTTATATATGTATACACATGCAAAGTCAATCATTAAGAACAACCAACTTCTCAAAAATCATCATATTATTCACATAATGATAAGCTGTAAAATATGTTTGCTATCATTTCCTTCTGTGGGAGATATAGTAGTGACATACACAAAGTAAGAAGTTGTAGATAAGTGTACTGCAAAACCAGTGCATTTATGGTTAAGACATTCAATTAGGACACAAACAAAAAGTACAGTTGTGTCCAAATTAATTCAAACCCCCAATGCTGTAAAGGGGTTTAGGGACTATAGTGTACATTTGGAATTGTTATTTCAGAATCAAATACCCATTGCATTATTAGGACGATTGTAACTACCCAAATGCAACCTAAAAATGACATCAATTGTTTATGTAATACAGTAGTAAATGGTTCTTATGTGGTTTTCTTCATTGCCACAATTATTCAACCCCTTAAAGACCTACCACTCTGAAGAACAGAGGTTCATACAGGTGCTTTCCTGCATCAGGTATTGAAAAAGCACCTGTGGATGTCACCTGAGCAGCAATCAAGATTAATAAGCACAGCAATTAGGCAGCTTTAAAATGACTGTGATGATACCCAGCTCCTTCTAGACATTTAAACTGGTGTGGTTACAAACATGGTGAAGGCAAGAGAATGGTCCTAGGAAGACAAAGAGAAGAGGTGATTTCTCTTCACAGGAAGGCCAATGGCTATAAGAAGATTTACAAAGTCTAATTTTAAATTACTAAATATAAAAACATACCAAGAGAACACCTTAGGAAGCATCATTCGCCAAATTCAAGGCAAAGGGCACTTGTTGAAAAAGCTACCTGGTTTTGGCAGAAAGAAGGTGTAGATGCTGACTTCGACTGCTGTGCAATTCTATCTGAAGCCGTAGATTTGAATCGACATTTTAGAGAGAGTCCCCTGTGTTTGTGACTGCTGAGAGAATCTGAGAAAAGATTTTGTCAGATGTGGGTACAGAAGTTTCAGCCCAGACAATAAGACGCACACTGCGTAATGAAGGCCTCCGTGCCTGATGAACTCCCAGGCCTGTACCCCCTTGCTGTTCCCACTAAAGAATAAGAAAGAGTCGACTGCAGTATGCCAAATAGCCACTTGTTGGAACTTTTTTCAACCCAAAAAAATAGCAAAAGTTGTGGGATAGTGTTCTGTGGAGTGATGAAACAAAATTAGAACACACTGTTTGGGCCCATGGATCAACGCTATTTTTGAGGAGGAAGAACAAGGCCTATGATGAAAAGAAGACCCTTGCCTATTCTGTGAAGCATGGTGGAGGGTCAATCATGCCATTGGGGCTGTTTTGACTTCTGCAGGTACAGGGAAAACTTCAGCGTGTGCAAGTCTGTACCATGAATTTTCTCTTCAGTACAAGGAGATAT